ATAATTGTCTGTGAAAAAACAACTTACTACTTTCATTCACGTGGTATATGATTTACAAAAATTAGAATTAAAGTTGAAATTAGTATTTTTATTTGTATGTGAGTTTGTGTATTTTTGTGTATGGGTATGTGTGTGTGTTTGTGTTTGTATTTCTGTTTGAGCCTGTGCCTGAACCTGTACCTGTGCCTGTTCCTGCTAATGTTCATGTTAATGTATGCGTTCGTGTTCGTGGTCCCATATATATAATACACCTTTACTGTTGTCATTGTTGTTGTCGTTGCCGTTACTGATTCCGTCACCCTTGCCATAGACGTTACCGTTACTGCACCCTAATCAATGGGTAGCTATGAGGGGGTAGGTAATGTCCTACTTCCGTTTCTGGGTGGGGTTAATGTCCTGAGAGGTGCGGTAATTGACAGGAGGGGGTAATTGAACTGGAATAATTACCGCGGGGAGTATCGTCATGTAACGGACACCTATCTACCAGCCAGATAGATGGTGAACGCCCCCGGATTCTTTCTTGGGGTTATATGCAAATGACTTAAAGCCTAAATGAATGAACACTAACTCAACAACACACTAGGGCTCGATTTCGATGTCTAGGGAAAACTAGTGATACTATCGAAGTTAACAACTCATTCAGTCTGCATACAACCTTTAATAAGCGAACACAGTTGTGGCAGATCACAAGGTTAAACAAGATAAAATATTTAGTTTAGAAAATAACAAAACCCAACTTACAAAGCGTAAGAAAAAATACTATCACAGATTCTAACACTGTATAAAAATAGCCACAGGTCACACAACACTGCTATAGCATCAAGAATCACTTGGCAACAAGTAATATAATACTAGAATACTTAAACAACTTAAGAATGCATAGCACACTCAGGACTTAAACTCTCTCACGTTCAAATGGTCAGAATGGATTGCCGGACAAGATGGACGGCCTGGTCAAGATGGACTGCCTGGTCAGAACGGACTGCCTGGTCAGAATGGACTGCCTGCCCTAAGTCATACGACCACACAGGTCGAGGGTCATGGGATCTAGCGATCCAGGCCACAAGGGCCACCCTGAGAGTAATGGGATCTAGCGATCCAGGCCACTGCGTAACAGTGGTCGAGGGTCATGGGATCTAGCGATCCAGGTCACTGCGTAACAGTGCCACTATACTCGGCTCTGAACCGAGGAATCTAAGCCACTAGACCACTAAACACCATAGACTATACTCGGCTCCACACCGAGGAATCGAACCTCGGCCACCGCCGTGGCGCGCCGAGATCCTAACCACTGTGCTATGGGGTGGTCATCTGATCTGAATCAATCAATCAGATCTTGATGGAAAATTTCTTAGTCTTAGACACTCTTAGTAAGACAGTGGAAAAAACCCGGTTGTTGCACCATCAATCCATATATGGTATTATAACAATGTCAAAATAAAACATTCCTAGACCTAAGTAGGTCACAGTCAAAATTCCTTTTTAAGCACCTCCTACCCTAGTAATGTTACGAAACTTTCGTTTAGGCAACAACATTTTAAAATATTGTTTGGCTTTGCATACCTCTCCCCCTCCCACAATCATACCAAGATCCAAATCTATACAGCACTATATTGATTTTGAAAACTAGAAGTAATCACGTCGTTAAATTAAAGAGTGCAAGACTGATGTTACATTTTTAAACTGTATCTATTTTGGAGTTTTTAAAAAAAAATGTAGTTTTTATTAATATTCTAGATAGAAGGATTGTAACTGTTTGGACTTCCCTTTCTTGAGTTTTCTCATTAATGCGATTTGCAAAATAACCCCATGCATTACCTATTGAATAACAAACACTGAAATGCCCTATTCGGATAGAAATACCGTTGTGCATCGGAGATTTAGCACCAAATTTAATAATATACTTTATTGTTTGTTTAGTGACGTAGACCGACTCGCTTTGTTTACATCAGCTATCAATAAAAAAACTATGAATTAGTCATTATTAATTAATGTTCACACCTATTCAAAAACATTGTACATTTCAAAGGATTTTTTTTTTTCTTTTATCTAAATGTTTACATCGTGTAACGTGTGCAGTCTAAGAACGGGGAAAATTCATAGAATAAATTCCTAGCGCAGATGCGTCCCTTTAATAGTTAACATTAAGCGGTAAAACGGTTTAAAATTGTAACCCTTTAACATTACTATTCTGAGATTCTGGTTATTTGTCAGATTTCTAGGCACCAGTTCTATCTCCTTTCCGTATATCAAGTTCTTGTCGCTTCTGCAAGTGGTCGATGTATTTCAAGCACGCAAAAAATGTATATTTTATTGTCGGCCGTTGCAAGTTTAGGTCACGTTTTGGTCACTTTTGAACGCAATTATTGAGATGACTCTAATTTTCCCGTTAGAATAATATTGAACAGCAAATTGTGTCAAGAGTAGCTTTTCTGATTCTTGCAATCATATACAGGCGTGAAAAACAAACAAACAACCCCCACTTTTCTTTAATAGATATAAATATAAGTCGCTCGGTAGTGTGTCATTCTGTCATCGGTATAGCTACTTTGTCAGTTTTTAAAGCTGAAATAGTGTGTTGCTTTTCCTAAAAAAAATTATCATAATTTGATTGTTGTACATCGATCAACTTTTATCGCTCTAGAACAATTTAATAATACAATATTTAGTGGACGGTGAGTTAAGTAGAAAAATTTAATTGATGATTAAAAATCATGTCTACATACCGATTTGCCATCCCCCATTGTTTTATATAAGAATATTCGAGAAAGTTTAGGGAAGATCACTCACGGTTTATTATTGTATAGTTTCATAATAACTTGTTATTAAAACTTATTTCATACATTATTCCGGGGGAGGGGGGGGTTCAACGCGCCATCATTTATAAGGAGGCGTGGTGGCGCATATTTAGTAGCTAATAAACGTTACAGAATGGGGTAGGGGTTGGTTAAAATTCGAGTATGGCATTACCAAACGTTAAGTCAATTATATCCGCCCATGGCCCTAACGTCATTACCTACATATTAATTGACCTTGGCAATGTCCCAGCTCCCGGAACATTACCCCGACCCTAGTACTGCTTAGGGTCGTTACATATTGAGAATTACCTTAGGTTAGTGTTAAAATAACGTTAAGTTAAGTTTAACGGCATTATTTTGTGACGTGCTTTGTTAAGTACAATTCTGATACAACCCTCGCAACTGTACACATTGTAATAAGATCATACTGTTTGTAATAGGACTGGTAAGTAGGTAACGGTGACGTTTATGGTACTGGGTCGCGGGTAATGAGGAGCAGATACTTGGTAGCGTGTACTAGGTATCGGGTAGCAGGTACTGCGTAGAGGGTAATGAGTAGCAGATACTGGGTAGCGGGTACTTGGTAGCGGGTAGCGAGTACTGGGTAGCGAGTACTGGGTAGCGGGTAATGAGTAGCATGTACTGGGTAGCGGGTAATGGGTAGCGGGTACTGGGTAGCGGGTAATGGGTAGCGGGTACTGGGTAGCGGGTACTGGGTAGCGGGTACTTGGTAGCGAATACTAAGTAGCGGGTACTGGGGAGCGGGTACTGGGTAGCGGGTACTGGGTAGCGGGTACTGGGTAGCGGGTACTGGGTAGCGGGTAACGGGTACTGGGTAGCGGCTACTTGGTAGCGAATACTAAGTAGCGGGTACTGGGTAGCGGGTACTGGGTAGCGGGTACTGGGTAGCGGGTACTGGGTAGCGGGTACTGGGTAGCGGGTACTGGGTAGCGAATACTAAGTAGCGGGTACTTGGTAGCGGGTAGTGGGTAGCGGGTAACGGGTACTGGGTAGCGGGTACTGGGTAGCGGGTACTTGGTAGCGGATACTTGATAGCGAATACTAAGTAGCGGGTACTGGGTAGCGGGTACTGGGTAGCGGGTAGTGGGTAGCGGGTACTGGGTAGCGGGTAGTGGGTAGCGGGTAACGGGTACTGGGTAGCGGGTACTTGGTAGCGAATACTAAGTAGCGGGTACTTGGTAGCGGGTAGTGGGTAGCGGGTAACGGGTACTGGGTAGCGGGTACTGGGTAGCGGGTACTTGGTAGCGGATACTTGATAGCGAATACTAAGTAGCGGGTACTGGGTAGCGGGTACTGGGTAGCGGGTAGTGGGTAGCGGGTACTGGGTAGCGGGTAGTGGGTAGCGGGTAACGGGTACTGGGTAGCGGGTACTTGGTAGCGAATACTAAGTAGCGGATACTGGGTAGCGGGTACTGGGTAGCGGGTACTGGGTAGCGGGTACTGGGTAACGGGTACTTGGTAACGGGTACTTGGTAGCGAATACTAAGTAGCGGATACTGGGCAGCGGGTACTTGGTAGCGAATACTAAGTAGCGGATACTGGGTAGCGGATACTGGGTAGCGGGTACTGGGTAGCGGGTACTGGGTAGCGGGTAATGAGTAGCATGTACTGGGTAGCGGGTACTGGGTAGCGGATACTGGGTAGCGGGTACTGGGTAGCGGGTACTGGGTAGCGGGTACTGGGTAGCGGATACGTGATAGCGAATACTAAGTAGCGGGTACTGGGTAGCAGGTACTGGGTAGCGGGTACTGGGTAACGGGTACTTGGTAACGGGTACTTGGTAGCGAATACTAAGTAGCGGATACTGGGTAGCGGGTACTTGGTAGCGAATACTAAGTAGCGGATACTGGGTAGCGGATACTGGGTAGCGGGTACTGGGTAGCGGGTACTGGGTACTGGGTAGTGGGTAGCGGGTACTGGGTAGCGGGTACTGGGTAGCGGGTACTGGGTAGCGGGTACTGGGTAGCGGGTACTGGGTAGCGGGTACTGGGTAGCGGGTACTGGGTAGCGGGTACTTGGTAGCGAATACTAAGTAGCGGGTACTGGGTAGCGGGTACTGGGTACTGGGTAGTGGGTACTGGTAGCGGGTACTGGTAGCGGGTACCTATTACTCTCTAAAGCAAAGACTAGCTGAAAAAGCTAGTATATATATATATATATATATATATAAATGTTTCAGAAATGCCCATCGCTACAACATCTTGCTCCAAGGAATATGTTCTGCCTCAGCTTAATACCAAGAGCTGCCAATATACTCTGAAATTTATTTCTCTTTTTGACGATACTCTAATAAGAATATTTTCAGGCGCCTTTATTTATGAGCTTTTACCCATTACAGGCCAACAAGAGGTGGGTTTCTATAAGTGGAATATAATGTAAAGCATTTTTAAGTTTTAAAAAAAAATTTGAGAAAAATATTATTATCTGTGTAAGATCTTTAAAAGTTGCTTTTTTCTTGCACAGACATTCAACCTTATCAGCGACTCACTTGTGCAAGTGAAAGCATCGAATAACGTGTACATGTTCCTCCATTTCAATTACCCCTGTCTGGATGAAGATAGTAATCTGAATGTGCATCACCTACAGTTAATCCCGAATGATTTGTTTTTAAACAAGTACATATGGAGGTGTGTTAATTTCTTTCAATGTTTAAATATCTATATAAGAATATGCAGTGGTATACACAGGCTGAGCTAAGTGGGACAGAAACATTCCAGCACCGTTAAACAGGTGCATTGAGAAAATAGAGGATACCAATTTATGTCTCAGTGGACAAGTATAAAATGTCTAAATTTTGAATGTTATATATGTTAGGGTCAAGGCCCAAAGTGCGGCTAAAGCACGAATTAGTTGAATGTGCACATTGGCCGGCTTCCTTGGCCAAAGTTCGAAGCGCTTAGTATTGTCAGCGTATTTCGTAAATTGGCTAGTCAATACGCGCACTGAATAATTTTAAATTCTCAGCGATTTTAGTACATTAGCCGGCTAATGCGCACACTGGCCGGGATGCCCTAGCCTATGTCCATTGTAGGCTACAATGTGATGAAGTTTTGATAATCCTCGCTGCTATATCATTTTCAGTAATGTATTTCTCGGCTCATATACGTATAGCATTCTATATGCATTCTTGATACATTCTATATACATTATATATACATTGTTTATGCAATGCGATATGAACCAATCGGGCCGTCAAATGAAGAGGCATAATGTCGAATAAAAATAATATCACCTCGATGCGGTACATTGTCTAAGCTTGCAGCTTTGCATGTATATTATTTATTTGAGTGCCATCCATATTCCTTCTTTGTCTATCAGTTCCATAGTTATGTCAAGAGTATTTCCTATAGTACTTCTTTAAAATGTTCTTTCCACCTTTCCTGGGGGCCAAGAGGCGAGCCTGTCCGCACCTTTGCATGCTTACAGATTAATAATTGAGGCATCCATTGAAAATGTTATGACATATCCAATTAATTATCTATGTTTCTGAATTAAACATACAATGTTTTAAAAGACATTAAGATTTAATTTTCGTTTGCAGTACGCCCAAAGTGCAAAGTTGGTACGGACAATACCATTTCATTTCTATTGTCGCTCCGGACGGTCCATTTGAGATATTACTTGACCATGTCAAAATTAGGTATTTACGATATTATTTAGATAATGACCGTACACTAATTTTAATAATTTCGTAAAGCAACTTTCTAAATAAGTAGTGAGTTCCCATAAATACGGCAGGGGTTTAGGATGTGGTTATGAAGAAATCGGTGTTGGAAAGGGTCATTATTATTGTTGGAGTGTGTAATGGGGTGGGGTGGGGGATGTTTATTGTAGCAGTGGTCCTGACAAATTGAAGTGGATGGGGTCATGTATGTAGCTATGTGGGAAGGGGCAGGGAGGTGGTCATTTATGAAGACTGGTTGCAACCGATGCAATGATTCGAGTTTAAAATCCTTTTTGATCGCTTTTTACAACTTATAACTGGATAGGGGCCTACCTTTTCATTGTTTTTCCTTAGTTTGAATTTTAAAGAAGAAAAGGGAGTGGCCTGGACAACTTCTTTGTATGAAATTATGCCAGGACAACACGAAGCGTGTGCTATTCACGGACAACTCTTCGCAATTTATGCTTTGGGATGGGATGATGAAACTTATTTCGCACATGACGTTGGTTATGCAATAACAGATTCAAAAGGTAAAGTAAACACGTATTCTATTTAAATGCTTTTGCCTGTGGCGTAGTCAGAGGGATGGGGGGGGGGGGGTATAACCACTGTAACTTATTTAAATACCTTTCTGAATCAGTATATATGTATAATTGTTTATGTATGTTTAGAACAACCATCTAAAAACTGACGATATGTTCTCTCTGAGTTGGTTTTTTTTAACTACAGCAGTCATTGTTCTATAGTAACTAAGATAAACTATTGCATAGACCAAAACAATACTAGAGCTGTACAGTTGATATAGACTTACCTTCAAACCTTTCCATAACTTATTGCCCCTATTTAAATAGTCAAATAATTGTAATTGTTTTGTACTAGCCACATTAAAAGGCGATTTCGTCTCTTAATTATTATTAAATTAAACTATATTAAAGAATGACACAACTGTAAAAATTAATGTGTTCAAAATAATTAATATAAATGCAGAAAACACAAGAAAAAAAAACAAACATAGGAAACTATAACACATCAAACCTCCGTGTTTAAAATACTTTTGACCGGCTACTTTTTTTCACAAATTTAGGCGGGTATACGAGAGATTTTGAAAATAAAAATATATTTTAAAAGAAAAGGTATAAATGAGATATAAACATTTTAAAACATATTTATAACTCGCCCGAAATGAGATATAGCACATTTATATTTGATCTGTCTCATGATATACTTTGCGATGAAATAGGTTAGACTACTAAATTAGGAAATGTTTTAAAAAATTAATTGAATATTTAGTAACACATTTATATATATATATATATATACATATATATATATACATATATATATATATATATATATATATATATATATATATATATATATATATATATATATATATATATATTATATATATATATATATATATATATATATATATATATATATATATATATATATATATATATATATGTATATATATATATATATATATATATATATATATATATATATATATATATATATACATATATATATATATATATATATATATATATATATATATATATATATATATATAAAGGAAGGGGGCGAATAATGTTTGTTTGGGATGGCCTTTTTTTCTAGTTCCGCCTCTGACCAAAGACAAAGCCATTTTTTACTTAGCTTAGGCCCAAACGGTTTGGAGGGCCAGAGATTGAAAAGTGTAGGGTTAGATGAGACAGAGTATTTCAATGTTCACTCAATCGTCCCTTTACCCCTGGGATCTTTGGGCCATCACATTTGTTATTCTCATCATTTTTCCGTCAGTCCAGTCTACTCATTGTTGATGTCCTCTTCATAATGTCGTCTTTGCTTTTCCCCTCATTGCACCTTGCACCGATAGTATTGTTTTTGATAGGCTCTTGACTTGTGTGGCATGCCCTTATAATCTCAGTTGTTTTGTTTTGGCTATGCTAAATATGTTCTCAAATGGATATAACCATAGATTTTTCACGAGAACATCTTCATATACATACACATGTGTATATATATATATATATATATATATACAAATACATATTTAATGATGGAAAACATTTGAAACCCAGCCTCCACGGTTTTTGCCATATAATTAGTTTTTATTGTATATATCATCTCTTTTATTTCCATTTTTGCAAAAATATTTTATAATTAATAGAAGTTGGAGGCAAAGAAGATAGTAACGCTTTCTGGACGGTGATGTTCTGCATAGTAGTTTCCACATTGCTTTTATGTAAGTGTTTTGTTTTATTTCAATGAATGGTAATTGGAATGATTGAGATAGTTTGACTATTACAGTGTCTATGTGTTGTGGGACTATTATAATGACTTGGGTTTATAAGTTTTCTACAGTCTTTTCGGATTGTGGAGAAATAAAGGTTGTGAGGCTTATCCGGTGATTGGGGATTGCGGGATTACTGCAGTGATTTGGTTTTTGGAACTACGAGTGCGATTGATGATTGATGGGCTACTGCATTTACTTGGGATTGTGAGACTACTACGGTGATTTGCTCTAGTTCTACTTCAAAACCTGATGATTATGAAGCGACTACAGTGGCTTTTTGAGTTTCTTTCTTCCAGGCATCTCTTCGGGGGGGGGGGGGGGGGGGGAGAGGGGGAGGGCGAAGAAAGTCTACCACCCCCTCCGAACGAAATAGAATTTTTATATTTATATATAGAAAATATATACTTTTAACCGTGTCCGCCCCCCCCCCCCCCACGAAAATTTCAAGTGCCCTCCCCACCCCCACCCCCGGAGAAAAATAAGTCTGCATAAGTCTGGAAGAAACACTGTATTTGAATTGTGTGTCTTCTACTGTCGGTTGTTATGGTGAATCTTCTGCTATGGGTGGATATTGTGGGGCTACTGTAATGACTGTAAATTATCGTTATGATATTCCTTTCCAATTTTGTTTAAAGTTAGGCTTTTATGCAATAAAAACAACTTTTAAATTTTAATTCGCAGGTGTGATTGGTTATAAAGGATATGATTCGTACCGAAGAGAGAAAAAGACAAGCTCAAATAATATATCCCAACCTTCAAAAAGCCACCATCCACTTAATATTTGCGACTCCAAACAGCCAACAGAAAGTGAAAGCGTTTTGTCATCCACTGAAAGCAGCGGCCAACGAACACCAGGCAGTTCCAGTAGTAGCCTTAAACAATATGCTACTTCATGTCCGAGCGTTTGTCGCTGCTGGGGCATGAGCAACTTACACAGCACAGCGCAGAGACCTATAGATTTAAGTGATAACGAAGATGGTTCAAATGATTCTCTTGATGAATCATCGCTTAATACAAGAAGGAGGCACAAAAATAAAATGCTTTTGCTTTCAAAAAGTGCGTTTACACCTGCACATACACAGTCATATATAAAAACATATTGGTGATAAAATTACTGAACAAAATTCTAAATAGGCTATAGTAGTCACTATTGATACATTCATGTTTTATCTCCTGATACTATTCAAAACTCAGTGTTTTTTTTATTTCCATTCATATAAATAAATATATATATATATATATATATATATATATATATATATATATATATATATATACTATTCATCTTCCAAATGGATGTAAGTGTTAAGCTGTTGACTCTATTACTATTTTTTCTTCTTTTCATTGATTTCTGTCAATGTAGTGAAGTAATAGCTGTTTTTATGGACATGGTATTGATTCTTATACTGGATCTTTAAACACAAACCATAAGCCTGTGTTCTTTGATGTCTGCTGTTTTTTTTTTAGTACCTGAAGCAAACTAAGTGTTCCATTGGTAAATATCTACTGTTTAAAGCTAGATGGGAGTACTTTAATTTAAAATATTAGTTATATTAAAAGAGCAGAATGTATGTTGGCACAAGGTTTAAAAATAGATTATTTTGTTGACAAAACCAGTACTCATTGATCCATCCTCTTTTAATGATAGACAGCTACAAAAAAAAAACTGGGTCTAGATCATTCCTGAAGTTGACCTTTTAAGCACACATCTCACACAACACACACATATAACACAACAAATACACATCCCACAACAAATACACATCTCACACAACAAACACACATTAGTGTGTTCCGCTGTTGTGTTTCGAAGTGTAGTTGGTGGTATTCTTTATCTATCTCTTGTGTTATGTATTCGATGTCATCTTTATTTACCACAAGTTTTGGTCATTAAGCTATAAGAAACCTATCATCTGGTATAATTGTCTAATTATGGGAAGAAAAAACTTATATAAAATATATGTTTTTCCTCTTAAATACATTTCTATTGTAAATTCAAGAGTATTTTAAATATAATTATTTCTAGAATTTTGTTCTGATCAATTTGATGGCTATCAATTAGCTCTATTATAATCATTGGTCATTTTTAACTGTTGCACTAAAGCATCTTTTGTTTAGGCAGTTTTTCAACCAACTGATGTTAGGCTGGTCACTAACCTAATGATGTATGTTAGGGTGGTCATTCATCCATGTTTGAGATTAGGTGAATTAAGTGTTGATGAATCAATCTGTTGTCCTATGTGAGGCGTGGACGTAACTTAGTTTAATAGCAATATGTTTTTAACGTAAAGATGCGTCATCATACAGGTGCAACTATTCTAGCATCTTATCCAATTATCTGATTTCTCTGTATGCCACTGGTTTGGTGGTTTTATCTCAAGCAAACATTTTGTGTTATTTTTTATTCCTTCAATTCTCATTTAAAATGCATTTTCTAAAATGTAACGTCAAATAATTTTTTACCAAGAATAATGCAGTAAGCTAAAACTCAGAATGTCAATTTAAATTACTTTTCAGAAATGGCTGTTTTTTTTTATTGTTTATCTGCTAAAAAAATCATGTCTTGTCTTTCCATGCAATACAGTATGGTACAGCCTGAATCAGTCTCAGTGTCAGAAACGTATTGTGTAATATCTACTGTGGATAACTCAATGCGTATAGTCTATATTAGAGGCTCTCTAGTCGAGCTCGATGACTCAGGCTGATACTGCAGTCTAGGCTCATGACTTTGAATGAGACTGAAAAAATCATGACTGACTGAGGCAAAAAAAAACATGACTTTGCCATCTTATGTAGAGTTACAGCTTTGTCTAAATTATTTTTTTTTATAAAATAAAGAAGTTTTACACAGTCTGTACAAATATATCAAACGTCATTGTGCAGTTAAAATTTAATTTCCCTTACCTGCGTTTAACACCGTTTTAGGGGGGGGGGGGGATTAGTTTTAATTTTTGTGTGCGCATATTATTGAGCTATTAACTGGCTATTAATTGACCTGTGTTTTTGTGCTAGTGGTGTTGTTATTACTTTGTTGAGATGTGGGTGGTGTATAGTTTTCTGGTGGTGTTGTGCCTGATGTTATGTCATTCAAAAAACTTTATCTGGTTTAGAAAACACTTAAAACATCCAGACAGGATAAACAAAAAAAAATTGTTTAAAAATAAGGGAAAAATATATGTAAAAATATGCATAAATCCATTTAAACAGCAGGAAAAAATAAATTAATTAATAATCAAAACATGGTTAATGAGTTGTTGTTTTTTTAATTTAGTATTTGTGTTCATGTATTGAAGTAAAGTTATCAATTTTAGTATAATGAGGACCATTTGTGTATAGGCCTATAACTTAGTAATTTTAGTATGATGGTGATCAGTACCTGACCTAAGGTTAGTTGTTAAGTAATTTGATGGAGTCAATTAGGCCTAAACAATAGCATTTGTTTGATGAGTCACCACCTATAAATCAACTCCAGGACAGCACGACTTGTACTTTCAGTCGATACCGAGGAACTTGGCAGCGGTAGTGAGTACTGGGGTATCGATACTGTTTAACATATCGATACTTGAAGGTATAACATCCGGTGTATGATATCGACATTTAATATAATTATGTTAATGACCCCTCCAATCTGACCTTTGTGCTACTGAAATCAAAGACACGATTCTCGCTGTTTTGTGGGAGGAATGGGGGGGGGCAGTAGCGTAGCGAGGGGGGGGGGGGGGGCGGGGGGGACATATGTCCCCGGGCGCCGACCTTAGGGGCGCCAAAATGGGTTGGAAAAATAAATTGAAAGGTTGAGGGTGTGCAAATCGAAAGTTTGAGGGGGGTGGGTGCAAATGGAAATCTCGAGGGGGGGGGGGGGTGCAAATCGAAAGTTTGAGGGGGGCGGGTGCAAATCGAAAAGTTTGTCCCCGGGCGCCGGGAAGGGTCGCTACGCCTCTGTGGGGGGGGGGGGTTATCTCGTCGCAAAGTCTGATAGTTTTGCGTACCTATGATGGTAGAACTTGGTGATCTAAATATCTAACACGTGCACACACTTAATTTTAATTGCTGTCATCACTTCCTACCCAGACATTGTATATATAATGCCGACGCTACCTGAAATAACAGAAATCGGACCTCCAATCGTTTTTTTTTTTTTATAAAATTGATGGCTTTTAGCAGTAGCCAAATTGTGATAAATGGTTGACCCATCTTTTTAAAAACAAGCAGCCATTAAAAGTTAATTATCACTATCTCTATCACTATAAAGATCGCGTTACGCGGCGGTAACAAAAAATATTTATAAAATTGTACTGTGAATTAAATCTCACTCGCAAGTTTTGGACAACCAGCTTTAAGGTTAATCCTATTCATCAATGGAAAAATCACTGGCCTTCTTTAAATTGTGTTAAAAGGACAAGCCATTTGATTGAACAAAGCCCACAAAATTTGAGTTGTTCTTCGTGAAAAAACTTCCAAACGCCCCCGCACGTCATCAGCTGTCGTCGCTTTCTTCTGAAAAACTGTTTACAGAATGCAATGGTCCCTAAAATATTATACATTTTATTTCTGGCACACAATTCGGTTCATCAACTAATTTCAGGAAATAAAACACTGAATCTTATTCTTAACAAAACAGACTAGAAAAACGTGTTTTACTTCACCATGTGGTTGTATGAGTGATCGTCTAGTACAGGGGTCGGCAACCTGCGGCTCGCGAGCCGCATGCGGCTCTTTTGATGTCAGGATGCGGCTCGCCAGTTCTATAATAATTATATTATTTTATTTTCATAACTCATAAAAATATTATACTTTAAACTTTAAACAACTACTTTAAACAAGATAAAAACGCTAAGAACTGGTGGAGTAGAGTGTATACAGACAGCTGACAGCTGCTTAGGCACTAGGCAAAGCCGAAACAACCGTGCTGTGGTCAGCCCCGTGGCAGTTATTCCATGCTTTCCCCTACCGAAGTGCACATTTTAAAATAAACCGGGAGTTTATAAAATGTTAAAGTTTAACTTAACCAAATCATTAGACATTTGAACATTAAACGTTTGAATTAAAATTTAGCCTCTCTGATTATAAACATGCAAAATCAGATTCTTTTTTACTTTCTCGTACACAGAGCATAGAGAAAGTACGGTAATCGTGCACAAAAATCCCATGAAATTTTGACAGTCTTCACCGTTTTACACCTCAGTCCTTCATCACATCCGGAGTATTGAGGACTTATTTTAATCGGGCAAATATTATAAATCCAGATTAATCAAAATTTTGGCGTTTTATGCTTAATCCAGTCAGAAAAACTGGGTTTTGCAATTATGTTCGTATGTCTGTGTGGGTGTGTGTATGTGTGTATGTGAACATGATAACTTGAGTACCGTTACAGCTAGGTTCATGAAATTTCATATATAAGTATTTTATTAAATTTGTAGTTGTGCATCAACTTTTCAACGATTTTCGATAAATGGAAGTGGAACGCATTCTACTTTCAATTCTTCAAAAGCCTACAACTTTACTATTTCAGAGAGATAAATGACCGGAAGTAGTAATTTACGCTATTACTGATTTCTCAAAAAACGCATGTGAATTTATAAAGTACTAATAATATTCCGCAATAGTATGCACATTTTGTTTGTCGTTTACTTGGTGCGCAATTATTTTACTCTACGAGATTCTATTCTATTTTTAAAAGTTGAATTAATAAAAAATGGTCTTAAAATATTGTATATATCTCGAGTTGCCATCTCCGTAGTATTGCATAAGAATATTCGAGAAACTTTTGGGGAGATCACTCCCTATTTATTATATTATTCTCTCTATTAATACTAATAGTTTCGCTGTCTGTCTATCTATCTATCTGACAAGAACGCTCTAGAGAAAAGACAAGCAAATTAAAAGCCTTCATAGTGAAACGCAAAAACGAAGTATGACGTCGCCACATTTAGCACAGAGTAGAATATAATCTCAAGCCGGAGAAAAGAAATTTCTTCATCGATACTCTATAATAAAATTACCGCCTAATTAATGTGTCTATTCTAAAAAGTGGTTTTCTTGCAATTTCTTTAATGCAATTATTTGGGTAGTGGCTAAGCGCGACACCAGTGTTTCTTTCAGACTTTTTCCTCCCCGGAGA